ATTCATAGTTAAAAATAAAAAGATATACACACTAGGCCAAGTAAACACATATGTATGCATCATATACATGTGTAATTATATTACACACAGGTGTATACATATATGCCTGTGTATGTATGTATTTATACATACAGGGTGTCCCAAAAGTCTTAGTGCAGTCCTTTTTCTTTTTTTTTTTTCTTTGCTAGGCAATGGGGTTAAGTAACTTGTCCAGGGTCACACAGCTAGTAAGTGTTATATGTCTGAGGCCAAACTTGAACTCAGGTCCTCCTGAATCCAGGGCCAGTGCTCTACCCACTGCGCCACCGAGCTGCCCCGAGTGCAGTTCTAATCAATGAAATCTTTAAACTAAGACTTTTGGGATACTCTTTGTGTGTTCATGCATGTGTGTGTTTGTGTGTGTGTATAAAGAGACAGACAGACAGCAATCTGAGCATTCCTCTGGTATCCATGAAATGTCAGGAGAACTAAATGATAGTGTCACCCAGCACACTGGATAGATTCCTTAAGATGACACGGACAAGAGTCACACAGGGCATGGATTGATTGCCATCTGCATCAATGGAGGCAGTACATCCACATCAATGAAGTCAAAAATCCATCAATGTGTCAAACCTAAAAGCATTTATCGTAATTAAAATTATATATTGTAGTCCTTTATGGGAAGATACAAATGAAAGTCCCATAGGATGGACAGTCATAGGCAAGTTACAACTGACATTGTAGGAGGTCTCAGATTTAGGAAAGTAACAAAATAATTTATAGACAATTTTGCATGACTGATAATTAGGATTCTAGGTATTCAACACAAGGAAAACAAATCCATCAGTGGTCTTCAGTCCTGCCAAATCTCCCAAGGAAATCTAGCAGGTCACTCAGAGGCTTGAAGGTCAAAGAATTTGCATCTCCTGGGAACAATCTATTCTTTGGCCATAGGAATGAATGAATGAATAAAGCATTTATTAAGTGCTTACTGTGTACCAAGGACTGTGCCAATTCCTGGGTATACAAATAGAAAAGGAAGATAATCCCTCCTCTCAAGCATCTCACCTTCTAATGGTGGAGATAAGAGACACCAAAAGATTCAGCTACAAGTCAGAGGGAAAAGTCCCATGGGTCCTTAGGGTGTAATGTCAAAGCAGATGGTGATGCTTCTTCTTCATGTCATTTCCACTGATGAAATCACACCAGTTTCTGATGTCAAATAGTTTGATAGGACTTTGGTGGCGAGAATTCCTTCCCCTCACCTATGGCAATGATGCCAGCAGGAGCAGTTACCAGGCTGCATTTCCCCAGGGGTTGTTTGCCAGGATGATGTCTGAGGACACTGGGCTGGAAACGTTCCCAAGGCTCTTGGGCTCAGGAACCCCGGGCTGGCCCCATCAGGTTGGGGTGGGGGGATGGTGGTCAAAGTAGTGGTAGTGGTTTGTTGTACCTGGCACATACAGCCTCCTGCCTCTCCCTTAGGGCTCCTTGCTGGTTTGCCTGCCCTGTGAGTGGTCGCTGGTTGGCAGCTGTTAGGGATGGCTGACCTCCTCTCCCCAGATGATGGTTGTGAGGGAGGGTTGAGCTGGAAGCAGAAATGGTGGTCCAGAGGGTGGGGGCTACCACTGCCAGGGACCCTGTGCTTCAATCCCTGTCATTGGCAGTTGGTCAGCAGTTACTGCTGGTGGTGATAAGGAAGGTGGGCCCCCTCTCCATGATGATTTCTCCCCTCAGTGATGGCTATAGGAATTGGGCTGGAAGTAGATATGATGGTTTGTGGGACACTGCCATTCCCAAGACTCTTGGGCTCAAGGGTCCTGGGCTGCCCCCTTCAGGGTATGAGGGGAAATGCTGG